TTTTGCTAAAATGATTTTGACACATCATGGTTTTATGTGTCACTTATGTAAGTGACCTCTCAAAAAAGTGGCCAGCTGGTAAACAGACAGGCTGTTTTGCTAACAGGACATCTCGTTTATTGTTCCTTTTTTTTTTTTTAGGAAAGTATAAAACTTCACAAACTCAATTAACATAAGGTTAGGGTAGGTCGGATTGTATCTCAGATCAATGGCTAGTCTTGCCCTGATTTATACAAATTCTGAGTTTACAAATAATTATTTTTTCATAAATATGACGTTGAGGTTTGAAGACTGAAATCTGATATCAATAGTCCATTGCTCCCAGTAAGTAAGGCATAGGTGCAGGTTTCATTGCAGAAAAAGTTGGTCCTTAACTCTGGTAATTCTGTGTAGGCCTGCAAAGAGTTGCACAAGGGAGTGTAATTAGTGTAAGCCTGGGTTCACACTGATGCGGTGCAGAATTCACAGTGGTTTCTGTGTGAATTCCGCACCACATCACAATCCCACCCCCGTTCATGCAAACGTGTGTATGTTACATTACCAACACCGCAAAATTGATCTGCAAAACACGGTGCAATGTGCAGAATAGGATCGCATAGGTGTGAATACCCATGCGATCCGATTCTAGTGCGGGCCAAAAAAAGGGGTCCTGTACCTTTTTGGTGCGGATGCAGTGTGATTTGAGCCATGCAAAATGTATGACTCAAATCGCACCGCACAGAATTCACATGTGATTTGCACAGGAATGAGGTACGGTTCCTGTGAGAATCACATGCGATATGCCGCACCGCACAAGTGTGAACCCAGGCTGAGGATTATAATTACACTCACCAGCCACTTTATAAGGTACACCTGTTCAATTGGTAACACAAATTGCTAATCAGCCAATCACAAGGCAGCAACTCAATGCATTTCAGCATGTAGGTCTGGTGAAAACGACTTCCTGAAGTTCAAACCAAGCAACAGAATGGGAAAGAAAGGGGATTTAAATGTCTTTGAACGTGGCATATTTGTTGGTGCCAGACGAACTGGTCTGAATATTTCAAAAACTGCTGATCTACTGTGATTTTCACACACAACCATCTCCAGGGTTTACAGAGAATGGTCCGAAAAAGAGAAAATATCCAGTGAGTGGCAGTTGTGTGGACAAAAATGCCTTGTTGATATCAGAGGCCAGAGGAGAATGGACAGACTAGTTTGAGATGATAGAAAGGCAACAGTAACTCAAAAACCCACTCCTTACAACCAAGGTATGCAGAATACCATCTCTGAACACGTTGAACCTTGAAGCAGATGGGCTACAGCAGCAGAAGAGCACACCGGGTTGCAAGGTGTACCTAATAAAGTGGCCATTGAGTGTACATTGAAGGGTAGCTTAGCTTTCTGCAGGAGCTCTGTATTGAAAACTACTAACACCTGTTTTATGTCACTGAAAGCTAAAATATAATTCCATGTTCTCTTGACAAGTCATATTTTTTTTAGTCCACAAATAAGAGAACCTAAAAGCCAATTACATGTGTCAAACTAACCTGATTTTAGTATTAGAACTTACATTTCAACAAATAACCTACTTTTAAGCATAAAACTAGAAAGCATAAAATGGAGTAAATCTGCTAAAACCATTTCCTTACCAGATAAAGAATGTAACAGTGTTAATAAATCATTCCTAGTAGTGTAATATGGTACTTAAAGTACAACTCTATGGAGAGGAAAAAACTCCCCCCCCGTACCTAATCTATATTTTTAAAATATCTAGCCCCAATCACTTAAATAAAATTGCAATAACATGACACTCCAGTTCCTGGGTTTTCTTTATTCCACTCTGTAGTGTGGGAGGATCTGGTCTGTGGGTGATATGGGTGCTGACCCATGGCTGCCCCAAGCGTTCATCACCAACTTCTTCAAGGGTCCTGAAGTATCCCAGTGTGAAGGCATGATATGGGGCAGACACAAGACCAGTCTGCTGAGCACTGAAGAGCAAAGAAGGTAGCCACTTTTGTAAGATGGGGGTCATGGAAAGTGGATTCAGGTGAGTTTTTTTTCTCAATTTTATACACTTTTAAGGATATGAGACCTTTGAAACTGTGAACTGAGCTGTGAATGAAGCCATCTACTAACAAAATCTGATGGAATGAACTATTTGTGTGGAAATATCTATTTTCTTTGCCAAAAATGCATTCAAAAACAAAATGCAGAGACAGTTGAGCAGTAGTAGATAAGCAAATTTTTTTGCTGGGTTTTGTGTTTTGCTTGTTTTCCTTCAACGGCTGTAAATAGCTGGACAGATGGTCAAGTAGAGAACCATGAGAAAAAAAATTGATGAAGAGTTCCTCTGACACTATGAAAGGAGACAGAGGTTTACCACAAAGTTTGTGGTTAAAATAAAATGGAAAGGACAAAACTAATTGAGCCCAGAGCCTTTAATGTCCTGCAAATGCTTTTCATCTGCTGAATTCTGCTCAAAATAATTGCCCATCATTTTAACACGGTGTTGAAGAAAAAGCTGAATTTTTTCCCATCTGATCTTCGGGAAGGTAAATGAAAGCGCAGAAACTTCGAGAGAGAACTGTGAAGTTTGGCAGAGCTACAACCTTTGTTGCCTCTGTTTCGGTCTCTCCCTCTCTCTGATGACATCTTTGGGTATCTGATACTTATTAGAAAAAGCTTCTGAGCGCAATGAAAGGCACAGAACAATTCGCTGAGACCACACAGAAAATGTTCTGGAGCAACGAGGTCTGCTCTGTCTTGTTCTGAAGAGAAAAACTTGAACAAGATAATGAATGCAATGCTTTGGGGAAAAGAAAATGCAATTATTACATTTATACAAAATCTCACAAAAGCCTTTCTCAGTAAAAGATATTGTATAGATCTTATTGTAACTGTTTATTAAGCTCACAGGAGAAACTTGTCTGTAGGGTTATTTTTCTAAAAAATAGCTTATTTTTGAATTATGTTAAATTTCATATTTATTCACTGCATTTTTAGCTATAATCATAACCTGCTCATAGCAATTGTGTGTTATGAAGCATAACTTGTGAGATTAGATCTTCTTTACTATGAAATACATACAGTCAAGTCAACCATGTTGCAGCTTTATCCAAATCATCACAATGCAGGCTGGAAACCTGTGACATGAAACGAGATGTGAGGTATTTTCTGTCTGTGCTGTCCACATTGCAGCAGTCTGTATTTTAATGTTTTATTCATTGTTGCAGAGGTGGAACAGCCATTGTAAATACATTGTGCCGTAGTAACGTCTAAACATCACATTTATCTACATGTCTACATTTGTGTGACTAGCACACTACTGCACAGCCTATGGCCTGGGGGTCTCTTGTGGCCCTTAGACATGTGGACTGGTCGAGCCCTCTGACTGTGACTCTGTCATGTTGTGAGGAGGTAGACTCACCAGGTTGTGGGTCACTCGCTCATGCACATGGGGTACTGTCAAGTACCAGGGCTGGCCAGCGGATGCTCCCAGCAATCAGAGACTCAACTTTGCAGCCAGCTAACACCTGGAACTGATTATGCTGGGGTATTTAAGGGATGGCCAGACTTGCAGACTCTGCCTTGGTGTTGTGTTTCTCTTGGGCCCTGTATCCTGTTCCTGCTCTCTGTTCCTGTCTGATTCTCTGCTGACCTGTGCTCTGATCCCTGGCTTGTCTGACCATCCCTCTGCCTGACCCTCTGTACTACGCTGCCTGCTACCTGTTCTGATCCCTGGCTTGTGACCCTGACCATCCCTCTGCCTGACCCTCTGTACTACGCTGCTAGCTACCTGCTGAACCTGGCCTGTGACCCCGACCAATCTCCGCTTGCTCCCCCTGTACCTACCTGCCCAATTGATATTGACCCGGCCTGCCTGACGACGCTTGCTTGTATGTACTGTTATCTGTGGGTGGTTGGTTTGGTTTGTTTGCACTGTATTATGTTTAGTATTGCACTGCGTTTATGTTTGTATTGTTAGTGTTAATAAATTATATTGTTTATCACATATCTGAAGTCTGCGTTTCCCTGCGTCAGTCACACACCTCTGGTCACACCTGGGAGCCCTGACATTACACCAAGGCCAATCCTGACCAGAAGTGGCTGCACAGGGAAGCCATCTTGGCTTGTTGCTGGGAAGGATGGATCTGGATGAGGTTGTGTATTTATATCTGCTAGTGTTTGATGACAGGGAGTATGCTTATCAAACTCTGAAGGAGTATCCCAGGGATCAACTACTAGAATGTATACGGCTCGCTCATGTTCTAGTAGATCAGGGCACAGAGTTCTCTGAGGTGCAGCCTTTGATTGAGGTTTGTGCTGAGTTGGTTTCATCTGGTTCCCCCGAATGCAGGGATGAATTTTTGCCACCATTTAGTGCAGACCAGGTAGAGTCCCTGGTGTGGTTATTAGAGGATGATGTGGGTTACTTTCTGGAGCGTTATTCCACATGTTCACCACAGACACTAAGAGATTGTATAAACGCAGTGCAGTCATTGACCAGACAGGCTTTGTGTAAGCTCAGCTTTGTTCAACCCATACTGCAGACATGGACAGACTTGTTGCACCCAGCCTCAGTCAGCTTACAAAAACCCAGTCCTGCTTCTAACTCTACTCCTGTATTCCCACCAGCTCCTCCAGTTACAGCCCAGTATACTTGGCTATCTACCGCATGTCAGTACCCTGTTCCCACTCGCTGCACCTATCCTGCCTTTAACCCTGTAAAAAAGCCCTCTGTAGCAACTGCTCCCTCTCCTGTTCCATCCTCCAGTTTTTCTCTGTCTCCAGCTGCTCCATTCGTTTGCAGACCTGCGTTTACTTGCAGTGCTCCAGTAGTTAAAACCAGAAAAAAGCGAAAATTCTTTCCAACCAATACCATCCTGCCAGTATCCAAACCGGTGAACCTGCCTTCCGTGACTCACTGAAGCCTCTACTCAGCCTGAAGCCTCTACTCAGCCCTGAAGCCTCTACTCAGCCTGAAGCCTCTACTCAGCCTGATGCCTCTCTTCAGCCTGATGCCTCTCTTCAGCCGGATGCCTCTCTCAGCAGCCTGATGCCTCTCTCAGCCTGATGCCTCTCTCAGCCTGATGCCTCTCTCTCAGCCTGATGCCTCTCTTCAGCCTGATGCCTCTCTTCAGCCTGATGCCTCTCTCAGCCTGATGCCTCTACTCAGCCTGATGCCTCTACTCAGCCTGATGCCTCTCTTCAGCTCAGCCTGATGCCTCTCTCTCAGCCTGAAGCCTCTACTCAGCCTGATGCCTGCTATCAGCCCTGCATTCAGCCTGATGCCGCTACTCAGCATGATGAACTGATCCAGCCCGACGATCCTATTAGGCCAGTTGACTCGATGCCCGCTGTTGATCCAGATGATCCGGTACCTGATCCAGTGCCCGCTGTCGTGCCAATTGACTCAGAGCCCCCGCTGTCATACCTGGTGACCCGGTGCCCACTGCCTTGCCAGATGACGCGGTGCCCGCTGGCAAGCCAAATGACCTGATGCCTGGTGACCCAGTGCCCGCTGTCATACCTGGTGACCCGATGCCCGCTGTCGAGCCAGACAATCCGATACCTGATGACCCGGTGCCCACTGTCGTGCCTGTTGACTCGGAGCCCACTGTCTTGCCAGACGACTCGGTGCCCGCTGTCCGCCAGTTGACTCGGTGCCCGCAGTCTCGGCCAGTCGACTCGGTGCCGGTGCCCGCAGTCTTGCCAGACGACTCGGTGCCCGCAGTCTTGCCAGACGACTCGGTGCCCGCAGTCTTGCCAGACGACTCGGTGCCCGCAGTCTTGCCAGACGACTCGGTGCCCGCAGTCCCGCCAGTTGACTCGATGCCCGCAGTTCCGCCAGTTGACTCGGTGCCCGCAGTCTTGCCAGACGACTCGGTGCCCGCAGTCTTGCCAGACGACTCGGTGCCCGCAGTCTTCTTGCCAGACGACTCGGTGCCCGCAGTCTTGCCAGACGACTCGGTGCCCGCAGTCTTGCCAGACGACTCGGTGCCCGCAGTCTTGCCAGTTGACTCGATGCCCGCTGTCCGCCAGACGACTCGGTGCCCGCAGTCTTGCCAGACGACTCGGTGCCCGCAGTCTTGCCAGACGACTCGGTGCCCGCAGTCTTGCCAGACGACTCGGTGCCCGCAGTCTTGCCAGACGACTCGGTGCCCGCAGTCTTGCCAGACGACTCGGTGCCCGCAGTCTTGCCAGACGACTCGGTGCCCGCAGTCTTGCCAGACGACTCGGTGCCCGCAGTCTTGCCAGTTGACTCGGTGCCCGCAGTCCGCCAGACGACTCGGTGCCCGCAGTCCGCCCAGACGACTCGGTGCCCGCAGTCTTGCCAGACTCGGTGCCCGCAGTCTTGCCAGACGACTCGGTGCCCCAGTCTTGCCAGACGACTCGGTGCCCGCAGTCTTGCCAGACGACTCGGTGCCCGCAGTCTTGCCAGACGACTCGGTGCCCGCAGTCTTGCCAGTTGACTCGATGCCCGCTGTCTTGCCAGACGACTCGGTGCCCGCAGTCTTGCCAGACGACTCGGTGCCCGCAGTCTTGCCAGACGACTCGGTGCCCGCAGTCTTGCCAGACGACTCGGTGCCCGCAGTCTTGCCAGACGACTCGGTGCCCGCAGTCTTGCCAGACGACTCGGTGCCCGCAGTCTTGCCAGACGACTCGGTGCCCGCAGTCCCGCCAGTTGACTCGATGCCCGCTGTCCCGCCAGACGACTCGGTGCCCGCAGTCTTGCCCAGACGACTCGGTGCCCGCAGTCTTGCCAGACGACTCGGTGCCCGCAGTCTTGCCAGACGACTCGTGCCCGCAGTCTTGCCAGACGACTCGGTGCCCGCTCAGCTCCAGTTGACTCGGTGCCCGCAGTCTCCGCCAGACGACTCGGTGCCCGCAGTCTCTGCCAGACGACTCGGTGCCCGCCCTTGCCAGACGACTCGGTGCCCGCAGTCTTGCGAACGACTCGGACCTGACCACGGGGGTCCGCCCGCAGTCTTGCCAGACGACTCGGGCCCGCAGACCTCTTCCCCTGACGACTCGGTGCCCGCAGCTCTTGCCAGACGACTCGGTGCCCGCAGCCTGTTGCTCCGCCCGCTGGCCCCAGACCGGTCCCGCAGTCTTGCCAGACGACTCGGGGCCCGCAGCCCTGTCCGAGACTCGGTCCCGCCTGCCAGGTCCCCGGTGCCCGCCGTCGCTCCCGCCTGGGGGCCCGCAGTCCTTGCCCGACGGGGTCGGTCCCGCCGCTCCAGCCTGGGGGCCCGAGACCTGTCCGCCCGGGGGGCCGGCGCCCGCCGCTCCGCCTCCGACTCGAGACCTGTCGCTCCCGCCCGGCGCCCCTGTCGGCCTGGGGCTCGGTGCCCGCCGCTCCGCCTGGGGGGGGCCGAGCCTGTCGCCCCACCCTGGGGGTCCGGGCCCGCCGCCCCGCCTGGGGGGGCCCGAGACCTGTGCTCCCGCCTGGGGGCCCGAGACCTGTCGCTCCCGCCCGGGGGCCCGACGCCTGGCCCCTCCCCGCCCGGGGCCCGCCTGCCCCCCGCCCCGCCCGGGGGCCCCGGGCCTGCTGCCCCCCGGGGGCCCGGTGCCTGCCCGCCCCGCCCGGGGGCCCGGTGCCTGCTGCCCCGCCCGGGGGCCCGGTGCCTGCTGCCCCCCCCGGGGGCCCGGTGCCTGCCGCCCCCGCCCGGGGGCCCGCTGCCTGCTGCTGCTCGCCTGGGGGCCCGGTGCCTGTGCCCCTGCCCGGAGTCCAGCCCGATGTGCCTGTGCCCGGAGTCCTGCCCGATGCCTCTGCCCGGAGTCCTGCCCGTGCCTGTGCCTCTGCCCGGAGTCCTGCCCGATGTGCCTCTGCCCGGAGTCCTGCCCGATGTGCCTCTGCCCGGAGTCCTGCCCGATGTGCCTCTGCCCGGAGTCCTGCCCGATGCCCGCCTCTGCCCGAGTGCCTCTGCCCGATGTGCCTCTGCCCGGAGTCCAGCCCGATGTGCCTCTGCCCGGAGTCCCCCGATGTGCCTCTGCCCGGAGTCCCCGATGTGCCTCTGCCCGATGTGCCCGATGTGCCTCTGCCCGGAGTCCTGCCCGATGTGCCTCTGCCCGGAGTCTGCCCCGATGTGCCTCTGCCCGGTGTGCCTGCCCGGTGTGCCTCTGCCCGGTGTGCCTTGCCCGGTGTGCCTCTGCCCGGTGTGCCCCTGCCCGGTGTGCCGCTGCCCGGAGTCCTGCCCGGTGTGCCAGTCTTTGATATCCCGCCAGTTACCAGACCCGGGCGGTGGAACATTTTGCCCAGCTAGGACTGTTTGGAGCGTCCTGAGGCCGCTCCTTGAGGGGGGGGTACTGTCAGGAATGGACTAGCCAGCAATGGTGGGACTCACCTGCCTTTTGATCTGCAGTACCAGGGCTGGCCAGCGGATGCTCCCAGCAATCAGAGACTCAACTTTGCAGCCAGCTAACACCTGGAACTGATTATGCTGGGGTATTTAAGGGATGGCCAGACTTGCAGACTCTGCCTTGGTGTTGTGTTTCTCTTGGGCCCTGTATCCTGTTCCTGCTCTCTGTTCCTGTCTGATTCTCTGCTACCTGTTCTGATCCCTGGCTTGTCTGACCATCCCTCTGCCTGACCCTCTGTACTACGCTGCCTGCTACCTGTTCTGATCCCTGGCTTGTGACCCTGACCATCCCTCTGCCTGACCCTCTGTACTACGCTGCTAGCTACCTGCTGAACCTGGCCTGTGACCCCGACCAATCTCCGCTTGCTCCCCCTGTACCTACCTGCCCAATTGATATTGACCCGGCCTGCCTGACGACGCTTGCTTGTATGTACTGTTATCTGTGGGTGGTTGGTTTGGTTTGTTTGCACTGTATTATGTTTAGTATTGCACTGCGTTTATGTTTGTATTGTTAGTGTTAATAAATTATATTGTTATCAATGCCTGGGACCAGGCAGGGCTGCATTCAGTTAAAATCAATCTTATGGCAGCACTCCAGCTTAGAGTGTACATACACTGTGTGCAGTAGTCCCTCTGTGAATGTGAGTAGGGTACCAATTGATTGACCCTGATTGCAAATTATGAAGTATAGTTACAGTTTTAAAAACAATGACCTAACTTTCCTGTGTATACTTTCTCTTAGTGAGTTAACCGCTTTAGTGATAGATATTCTGCACACTCCACAGTCCATTCCTAGATTTAACAATATAAACATGAACCAAATAGGGGTTTAAGAGCATAACACAAGTAAATAATATATATGTAAAGGGAGACAAGCTTTAATCATGTCTGCTTCTTGGTTTTGAGAAATCAAATGCCTAAGCTCGAAGATGTGTGTGTGTGTATATATATATATATATATATATATATATATATATATACTGTATACCTTACAAAAACCATTCTCCACAGACTCACATGCCAACATAAACAGTAATGCGAGGCAACAGTCCCTTTTCCTTCTGTAGTGGGACTGTTTTTGTTGTTCTCTCTGCAGGGGATGAGGGGCTCTGTATGTGGACGCTCACCCAAGACCATCTTTTGACCCTCTATGTGGTTGCTGTTGCCTCACATCACCATTTATGTTGGCATGTGAGTCTGCAGAGAATGGTTTTTGTAAGGTTTATGATGTTTTTGTGACACTGTATTTGTATGATTAATGGTTTATATATAAATACACATCTTCCAGCTTAGGCATTTGATTTCCTCGCCTCCAGTTTTGGGGTCCTGAAGAAGCTAACAAGTGAAACGCGTCAACCTCTCGAGGACATTGATGCCATAATACATGATGGTGTAATTTCTTGGGCTCCTTAGCCAAGTATTGTTTTTACATAATGTGTTTGGAAGATGCATTTCAAAAAATATGTTTAATGTACAACATGAGGTTGTCCGCTTTATGTACCAGAAAAGTCCCATTAGGTTTTGTTTCTTTTTGTATTGGACCTGGTTAGTCAACAACAACAGTATACTTCTAAACCCTTTTCAAAATTTTAAGTTTCAGCATTACATCAATCACTTTGAACCGAGGATCAAAGGTAACATTTTTCATGAAAATGTTTTTTGCGTTATATGTATAGCAGGCACTGAGTTCTCACAATACAGACTTAGACCTTCTGCTGACTGATTAATAACCTTTAGAAAAGACTCAACTAACAGCAACAATAGCCGATTATTTGAATTTTTGGGCAATTAAGGATTTCTGACTCAGACTGCTGACTTATCAAGCTTGTCGAAGACAGGTTTAATTCAGTGAACGTTATTGCCCTCCTTATAGATTAACTGAACCTGTCAAAGCACCTCCGCCTGTGTGGAGTAAAGTATTTTCAACAAAATACCACGCTGAACTTTCTGCAGTAATTATAGACATAAAATATATCGCCCTGGCTCGCTTTCCATTTTGATCTCTGCAAGAACATCTGTCCACATTGTAAGTCCTGGCCATAGGGAGTTCTGCTGTGCCTCTCAGGCAGGAGGACCTGTCATCCATGTATGGCTGATGACAATAGACGCAGTTTATGAAGTTGGAGAAATTCACTAGTGGATGCAGAGCTCAAGTGCCTCATGGATTTGTTATTTTTAGAAGTTTATTTCTTTAAAAGGAGCAGGGAGGTTATCAGAGAGGTGAACCCTAAATGCTGGAGTGCATTGCGTACTATATTATTTTAGGCCCATTGCATATCCTTTGTT